TCAGCTTAGCTTGAAGAGAATAGAGATAAAGAACAGAAGGACATCATTCTGTCTGCCCCTTGGCTGATTGGCAAGTTTGCCAGGCCAAAGGAACAAAAGAAAAGGGCTTGCTGGGGCCAAGTGGCTGGGTAGTCAGTCAGATGCTCTATGAGAACGGAGCAGCCTAAAAGCAAGGGAAGCATAATTGTCATGCCTGAGGTCTTGGAAGGCAGAACTGGAGTCTAGGACTGAAGGTCTTTCCTTCCGCCTGGTATGAAAACTGTGTACCAATTCCTAGAATCTGGTGGCGGAGCCACTGCAGAGATGATCTCAGAGTAGTGAGGATTATTTTTAAGCCTTGAGTCGATTCTGACTCATGATGACCCTAGAAGACAGAAAGCCCTTCTCCTGTAAAGCCACTGGGAGTTTTGACCTTTTGAACAACCAATGTGTTACCCACTACACCACTGGGGTTCTTGTCACAGACTTTATAAACCATCTCCCCTGATGCACTCTCTCTCCTTCACCTCTGCACATGGAAGCTTGCTGTCAGTGAAGACTTCCCGCATGCATAGGGAACACTGCAAGTACCCAGAGTTAAGGCCTCAGAAGTTTCTCTCGACCAATGAGCATGGGTCTTTGCTAAAGTTTTGTTACATTGCCACATAAATCCCAGAAGGATAATATTCCATGTGTGCATAGTGGTCACTAGCTTGATTACACAATTTATTGGCTTCATATATTTTCCCTTTTTCTTTTTTGGTTCCCAACAACTCTCCTAGTTTCCTTGGAATGCATGCCAAATAAATTTTAGTGCTTCATGCTAATCTTTGCCTCAGGCTCACACTATCCTAACCGAACCAGGACATAATTTGTAAACAAAAACATCCTAAACTGTATCTTGAATTTTACTTATTTTGCATAACTTTTGCTTAAAATATCTATAGTCTTACTGGCAAAAATTATCAGCATTTTCCTTCTTAACAAGTCCTTTCTGCCTTCTTTGTTTAAAAACACTTTTAATAGCTTATCTTCAAAAACATACTTCATCTAAATTCTTAAAATGTTTTCTGTGTGTGCTCAATGACATGCAATTTATATTTTATGAGTTAAGGTAAGGACCTAATTTTATTTTTGTGTCAAATGGATTACCAATTAACCAAGAACAATTTACAGAATAGACATCTTTTCCTTACTTAATATTGTAACTCTGTCTTTTTGCCTTTTTAAAAAAATTTAAACATAGTTGATTTTATTAAATGAACAAACCAAAACCAAACAAACCGAACTCACTGCCATCATGTCAATCCCTCGGTTCTGACTCATAAGGACCGTACAGCCTGGCTCTGTGAGTACAAACTAAGTGTACACAGCAGTAGGAAACTGCTGGTGATTACCAACTGCTGACCTGTGGTTAGCAGCCCAAAGCATCATCACTATGCTGGCCAGGTTAATAAATAATCATGATAGATATCTTAGTTAATTCTTTTTGTGTGTGAAATCAGTTATTGGCATATAATTCCCATAGCATATAATTGTTCATTCATATTAAGAATAGTTGTACAATCATCACCACAATCAATTCCACAAGATTTTCTTCTCATACTCATTGATTTTTAGCTTCCCATTTCTCCAACCTTACCTACCATGTCCCTAGGTAATTGTTAATCCAAATAGTCTCTCCCTATATGTGCCTATCTTAAGTTTTCTATACAGCAAATCATATGTTTTAAAAAACCAGAAAGCAAACAAATAATACAACCAACAACAATACAAAATAAAAGTGAGAAAACCCTCAATCAAAAATAAAGCAGAAAATATTAAAAGCTGAAACAACTTTATAACATGTCAAAAAGGAGATTAAATGACACGGTATTACATTTTTACCTATTTTCCATAATCGACTTTATACTGCTCTCTGTCTGATAGCAAGACTATTTACAACCATAGACTATGGTCAGAGGGGGTTCACTGGAGTTTTAATCCATGTGAGGACCCCGCATATGGATTTGGGGCTTTGATGTCATCAATAGCCTTCTGCAACTGGGTATTCACAATTTAAGTTCCAATAAACTCCCTCCTTGGGATTTAACAGCACCCCACCGCAATGTAAAACAATTTCCTTAAAGTTTCATGAACTTCTGTGAGATTTGCAGTAAGTTGATGAACGTTGGGCATTGAGAAAATATATTCAAAGGAGGAGTGGGGATAGCGGTGGGAATTGAGCATATTACCGTAACATCTTGGAAGAGTTGGCCATTGGGACATCTATAATCTCCAACTTCTTGTACTAGTCTGGTATTAATTTTTCTAGAAATAAACTACTACCACAATTTGTTTATTTATATATACTTGTCTAGTAAAGCTTTGCCCATGTTTTGATTTAGTAATTTAGCTCTTCATGTATGAGTTATAGGAGTTCTTCACACACTGAATGCTACCCCTTATCAGACATTTGTTTCCAAATATCTCATTCTGTAGGTTGTCTCTTATCTTGAGATAAACGCCTTTGATACAAAAAATGTTTTCAATTTGATGGCATCTATACTAATATCTTACAAGAAGTGTCGATCTATTTATTTTGTCTTTCGTTATTTGTGGCTTTGGTTTTACAACTAAGAAACCATTTTAATAAACTCCATCCCTATGTTTTATTATAAGAGTTGTAGTGTTTTTTTCTTACATTAGAGTTAAGATATTAGTGTAAGATGTTTGTCCAACTTAGTTTTGCTGCATTGGGAGATTCAATTTTCTCAGCACTCTAATTTGAAGAGGAACCCTGATGGTGTAGTGGGTTACTAGTTAGACTTCTAATCAAAAGGTCAAAAGTTCAGACCACCAGTTGCTCCTTGGAAAAATGATGAGTCTCCCTATTCCTGAGAAACCCACCGGGGTAGTTCTACTCTGTCCTACAGGTTGAATCGGAATTAACAATAGGGAGTTTGATTTTATTTGGATATTTTCAAGAGAATACTATTTTTCTCATTGAATGAATTTATCATGCTCATTTCAAATCAATTAGCATTGCACAGCTGAGTTGATTTCTGAGCGTTCTGTTCTATTTCATTGTACATCATACCAGTATCATATTGTGTTGAATACCATCATGCAATTTTTGCTACTTTATTCTTCTATTTCTTAATTATATTGGCTTTTTAGAAGTGCTCCATAATTCCATATAACTTTGAGATTTTTGTTTGTTTTTTTATGCAAAGAAGACTGTTTATAATTTTGAAAATTGGTTGATATTTTAAATCATAAATGGGTGTTGGATTTTTCAAATGTCTTTGCTGCATTCACTGAGATGACAATGTTGCTCTTTATACTATTAATGTGGTATGTTATATGTATTATTTTAAACCTCAGAATATATCATCAATCATTTTTTTACATGTCCCTATTCTTTTGGATTTTAGTCTTTCCTTCATAAATAATTATTTTTAAATGCCACTTTCCCACTCATATATTTGAACATAATAGTAGCAGAATTCAAAATCATAAAGGTGGTCATACTTACTGGGTTGATAGACATTGGTGAAACCTTTAGATAATCTTCAGACCAGGAAATAAATCAACCTCTAGGAATAATCTTGCAGTCAAATAACATAAGTCTTGTAAAGAGAACAGTAATGCTAATGAGGACTGTCTTCTTCAGAATAACCAACCATATGATAAATTATTTTATTTACATTCTACTCTTTATGAGAAAGAATGTCTTAATGCAATGCAATTCTCTTATTATTTTAAGCCCAAAGGAAAAGTAAGCTCACTGCTCCTCAGTCGATCCTGACTCTCAGCAACACAAGGACACAATAAAGCTGCTCCTTTGGGTTTCTAAGACTTTTAAAACTTAGAGATAGTCTCATCTTTCTCCTGTAGAACTGCAAGATCAAACCACTTATCTTGAAGTTAGCAGGTCAATCTATAACCCACTACTATACCAGGACTCCTTAAAAGAAAGTAAAGTGACTAACTATTATACTTAATAACAATTTGCTCCGAGTTCAATGTGCTGGGGACTCCTGAGTGGAACTTACCTGTGGCCAGCTATACTTAGAAAAGAAAAAGTGATCAAGTTCAGAATAGATTTAGATTTATTTGGGTTGTTTATCCTCTATTCATTGACATAAAGCATAAGTGCACACTAATGGTTTAGTCATCTAAACCTGTAATATTAAGCATTTAAAGAGATAAAGTTCAGTTTCAGTGAGCAATGTCTTCCACATGCAGGATATTTTTATAATAGAAGAAAGTACTTTATTCCTCCTATGACACACACTGTCATTTATTGATAAGGTCACAAGACCATAGGAAGCCTTGTTCCAGTAGCCTTGCCTTCCCGTTGAATCACTAATGCTTTCTATTGCATAACTTCACATAATAACATAATGAAAGTTATGAACATTTCAAATGTTTTAATAAGAAAAATATATACACACATGTAAATGTAGAGGCATATATTAGTATATATTCTGTATATATATATATATATATATATATATATATATGCAAAAAGCTACCCTTCTATAACTACATAGAATAAGAATACTGCTTTAATAATTACCTGAGTCAGAGGGTAGAAATTTGACCTGTAATGAACTGTTGCTACAAATAGATATTAAGTTCAAGTACCTAATGACAAATTTATCTGTCATAAATTGCAGAGTTTTCCTAAGAGTTTCTCAGAATGATAAATTATCATTTTTGCTTACATCATGCACTTAATTTCATTCTCCACAGCAGATGGGCTGTTCATTTGACTAACATTTACAACTCTAAGCATCTCTTTACTCACCATTTCTTGTTAAAGATTAGCTGTTCCTTTAAACTGTCTTAATATCTAGCGATGAGATACAAAGTTTTAAAAGGACACATATACCTCATTCACCTGTAGAGTCTGAGTGGAGACACTGCTGATACAAAACTTCTCTAGATGTCTGAGAAATTTTGCTCTCCAGTTGATGCAGACTTCTCTGTATGAAAATTCACCGTTACTAGATTAGCAAACTTCAAAAACAAAAATGGGGTTGAAAAGAACTCTTCCTTCGAAGTGTCATCCTCTCAACTACTATGAATCCATGCTTACAGCTCTCTTTGCCATATTGCTGGTGGTCTGTGCTGGATTAATGGTGGTGTCATGGCTGACAATCAGATCTGAACAAGGTAAGCCACATGGAGCAAGCATTCTCATATGAATGTATGCGTTTTAATCTAAGTTTTCCTGCCTATGGATTTCATCAATGTTTTCTTTTGAAGGCAAAACAATTATATTTAGCATGTAGGTGCTTCACTGTAGTTCACTTTAGAGAATATTAGTAAAAATTAGTTGACATCTATTTTTATTTTAATCTGGAATCCAAACATTAAAATTTTAAGGTAAATAAGGTTAAATGAGTTTATCAGTCTCAATATATATAAAGATAAGTTTCATAATACAGAATTCATTCTGATAGAATTTAAGTTCCAAATATTTTAAATAGTTATGGATAAATATGTTAAACTAAAAAATATATAATTATTGTTTATATCTGTGCAATGATGCCTTCATTCTTTCATGGTCAACACTGTTGATAGTAATACTTTTAAAATATTGGAATGTAGATGAGACTATAACAATTTCAAGCTGAATTTCAACTTTTGTTAAATATAAATAGTAAAGAAAGGATTACTAGAGTTACTGTAGTCTGTACCAGCAGCTATTTCAAGACCTACAAGTGTATTATATTGCTACAAGAAACATGTGTTAGTTATTATTAGCCTCGTTTTACCGGAGAAAAATATGAGACACTTGATAATTCTGTATCATTAGCAAGTAATATAATAAAGTAGAGAATCCAACTCTAGAATATGTGCTCCTTTATGGTATATATTTAATGGTAGGATTTTTTTTGAGAGATCAAAAATAATTTCTATTATTTATTTTATTGGGGACTCTTACAGCTCTTATTATAATCCATGCATATATTCATTTTGTCAATCAAATCTTTATATATATTATCATCTTTTCCAAAACATTTTTTATTCTTTAATGATGCATAACAATAATCTGACTACTAATCATTTATTATTTTTAATATTTACATTCTTTATATAATTAATTATATACCATCATACTAATTATCTCTAAAGCTCATAGAGGAATAACCATGCCTGTTACATATGAGGTTTATTACATGCATTTTAGGAAGTTCTCTTATTTATTCTGTCTTGGCTTAACCATCTGGAAAAAAGAAGAAATAGTATCATCCCTTGCTTGGTCATCATGAAAATGAAAATTATGTTTTCACACTGAGTGTTTCATGTCAAGATAAATGTAGGATATAAAATACTATAATATGAGTATTATTAGCAACCTAATGACTCATTTAGTTATGTCTCTTTGTATTGAAATTATAAGAAATATATGTTTATATTAAGGTAATATATTTTTTCAGTGTTTTCAATAACTTCTCCAATAACAACAGTTATCTCTTGGCACAATGTCATAGGTAGCAATTTTATAATTATTGGAATGAAAGAAGTAGTTTCAAAGTTATGTTTCAAAGTACTGCACACACTGACCCCTCACAGCAATCCTCAGGTAGAAAACCAGCAGTGTCTCTGGACAGTAGGTATTCAAGAAGTATTTGAAAACAACTACAAACTTTTAATGATCAATTTCTCCCCGGGTCTCCCTGAATCACTTCCCGTAATTGGTGGCAGTTGATCAGTCTCTGCATCTTTCATCGAGATTTCCATTAAAAAGTGCACACACATACACACACACACAAAACAACTTGGATACTTGGAATGCAGATTCGATTTCACTGAGAAAATAATATTAATAGGACATGGAAAAGGGTTTTTTTTGTTTCTTTTATGACAATCAGACAGCTACAATAGCCTCTGGCTTTGAGCAAGAAGATTGTATGAAAATAACAAGAACAAAAATAACAGGATCAATACATCAGATAAAAATGATGCTTCAGTCCTAAATAAAATGCACATATTCTCTCTTGCTGCTGGTATTTTATTTCTTATGAATTCTCCTAGACACAATTATTGGAAATAATCATGAAGCCAGAGGGACATTTAAAATAACATCTGGAGCTGCTTATAATCCCAATTTACAAGACAAACTCTCAGTGGATTTCAAAGTTCTTGCATTTGACCTTCAACAAATGGTATGAGATTATCTCTCTTCACTTCTTTTAGAGTTTGATAAGTTCACTAGCTGTTTGCCAAAAGATACATAGGATCCTGTTTTCTCAATGTAAAAAAATTACTAAACTGTGTAGTATGACCAACTGAAACCAAAGTAACGTGCCAGTAAATCAGATCTCACTCATAGTGACCCCACAAGAAAGAGTGCATGGGACCCATGGGGTTATCAGGACTTTAATCTTTTAGGAAAGCACACTGCTACTTCGTTCTATTTTGAAGTGGCCAGTGGGCCCAAATTGCCTTAGTAGCTGAATGCTTTAACCACTGTGCCACCAACGCACCTTACAACATGAAAGAATGTGTATATGTCTGAGCCTTATTACCATTTAGAAATAAATCACCCCTAATTAGGTCTAAACAAAACATAAAACTTATTTTTGTTCATTTTGAATAACATTTAAAGTCTCATTTATAGCTTTTACACCTTTTCTTCCTTTAGATAGACGAGATCTTTCAATCAAGTAATCTTAAGAATGAATACAGAAATTCTAGAATTTTGCAATTTGAGTAAGTATTGCCCAAGAAATCATAAGCACAAATTTTAGTAATAATTATTATACCATCATGGCACATATAAGAATGGGAAACATTTTTTAAATGTAAGCAGTTTGTGATCTCTTAAGGGGTAATTGGAGAATATATATTATCATAAATTGTAAAAAAGAACAATAACTCTGGGAACATGATTGTATGTAATATGTTTTCCATTCCTAAGAGGAAATATTACCAAGGCACAAAGAGATGACTGCAAGTTAAATGTATGGAGAATCAGATAGAAGATTTAAATTATTGTAAACATGCAAAAGGAGTTTGTTTGTTAGTGATGTTGCTACCTCATTAGATCACAAGAAGATGGGCAAGATTTAAGGTTGTATCAGAGGGAATAATAGCACTATATCCAGAGGAGAGCAGGTGCTCAATAAATGAATAAATACTAGATTTATGGGATGATTATATACAGTGAACCCTCGTTTATCGCGGTTAATTGGTTCTAGACCATACTGTGATAAATGAAATTCCGCGAAGTAGGATTCCTTGTCACGATGCGCTTTGCTTCCTTGTTGAAAGTGAAAGTAGCCGTAGCACGGATGTTTTTTTTCTCTTTACGGATGGAGCGAACGGAAGACTCATTCAAGTCGAAATGGCGTGCAACCTCCACGATTTTCTTGCCATCTTTGATCATATCCAAAAGTTTTACCTTTTCCTGGATGGTGAGCATTTTCCTCTGGCGCTTATTTTTATTGTCAGAAGGCTTAGAAGAAGCAGCTCGTTTAGGAGCCATCATAGGGCTTAGATAAAATTTCTTAAAAATCGCAAGCAATTACAGTACGCTGTACAAAAGCAAAAATGCATCTGATACGTAGCTCCGATACGTAGTGATGCAGACAGAAGCGTGTACAGTATGAGCCAATCAGTGACAGTAATGACAGAGCATGTGCTGTTACGCAAAAACCGCGATAGAGTGAAGCCGCGGAAGTCGAAGCGCGAAGTGGCGAGGGTTCACTGTAACTGCATTATGAATGCTCAATTGAGAGGGTTTTTAAACTGAAAAGTGACAAGGGTCTTTGTATTAAAGATAAGAATCAGTATGAAAAAAACCCTATGCCTGTTAGAATCTATAAAATCAATACGAAGGGTGAAATGAGAAGAAAAGAGCATTCTACTTTTTTTTATTTAAAAGTGAAATATAAATAGACTGATCAAGATCAGGATATCTTAGAAAAAGATAAGGGAGAAATCCCTTTAAAATAATTCAGACTAAGAACCTGTAAATGAAGAGATAATCTTCAGGAAGCTGAAGTGCAAGGCAGATCCTATCTCATAAATTAAAACTTGATAATATTGAAGAACTAGCTCCAAATAATGTACCACTGAAAGGTAAGTGAGACATTTTCCTCTTTTCATATAAAGCTACCCCAGATAAGGATATTACCTTGTCTTAGCGATATTGGTCATGATTATTCACCCTAAAATAAATGGGTGGAGCTGAGATGTAATGGAGAAATAAACATCTCCATTCCTACATAAATAAAATAGAGACTAACCTGGGACAGGAGAGAGGCCTAACAATGAAAGCCAAGATAAACATGTGGAGCATTGCTGGTGCTAAATAAACAAAATAAGCCAACTGATACCAATAATCCCCAATTACAAATAACCATCTTCCACATTAATTTACCTGTGCCTTTTTCAATGATTATGCAAGTATTAATAATTCTAGGATTTAGACTCATGATGCCCTACAAACTGAACGTAGCTTTCACAGTCCCTGATTGGTGCTAATAATGAACGCATTGGATTAACACTGAAAGGTTGGAAGTTTGAGTTGCTCACAGATTCCTTGGAAAAACAGCCTGACAATCTATAACTAGGAAAATAAGACACAGTCTATAGAGCATAATTCTAGTCTGACGCACATGGGATCTCCTTAAGTCGATGACAACGAATTTCTAAAATAAACCCCACACCCATTTCTCCCAGTAAATGCTTAAGATGTGTCAAAGCAGGGAGCAATGAGTTCCCTACATGTTTTCATGACACTATGAAGCTACATGCTATAAACTTGGATACTCATTAACTTTATTTTATGAATATTTTGTTTATTATATCCCAGAGCCTAATATTACTTAGTTGGACCTTGCTCTCATATAGCTTATGGTCTAATAGAAATGACAAGTTCCCTATCTACATTGCACAATGATGTTTAAAGTTTATGGATGCAGTTAGGACTACTCAAATAATTCATACATCTGTTGTATTTTTCTCTCTCCTCAAACATAATATTTTACACTGTGTTTTGAAAAGTTAAACTTTTTTAGCCCTAGAATGAGGAGAAAATGAGTTAATGGTCATCATGGTATGCCAATTAGTACCACTAAAAACTGCACCCTCAGTACTTCCCAGAATAGCACGATGGTGTCCACTGCTTCCGAGTATGTACCAGCACTGTCATACATTGAGTTATCGAATTCTTACTTGAGATTTATGGGTTGTGAGATTATGAATTTGGGTCCAGAGAAGTTAAGTACGTTCCAAAGTCATGCTGCTCATAGATTGTCTATCTAAAAGACAATTAATGTTTATTTTTAAATGTTCTCAGAGCAGGGTGAGGAACAATGAGAGTGACACATAAAGTGTCACATATTCATAAATTGTTTAATTGATATTGAATATGTTTCCCAGTGAATATTAGCTCCCTTGTGCATCTCTTCGTAAACTAAGATGTATTTATATACAATCCCACTCTTACATCATTATTTTTCCTTCCTCTCCATCCTCATTTTAAACTTGTGTAGAATTAATCACTTTAAGGAAAAATGTAAATTCATGCAGACTATTCTAAAAATTTGAATTTACAGCCTGTCTCTTTTTCTTTCTTTTTTTTAAAAATACTCTATTGGGGGCTCTTACTCTCATCACAATCCATACATTCATCCAGTGTGTTAAGCATGTTTGCAAATATGCCACCATAATCATTTTCAAAGCATTCTATTCACACTTGATATCCGGTCTCAGGGAAGAAATGAGCCAGTCCGGGTGCAGTATAGCACCAGTGAAACACACAACTTTCCTCTAGTTCTTTGGTGCTTCCTTTACCCAATTATCATGACCTTAATTGTACCTTACACATAGGATTAGACCAGAGCATGCACACTGCTACAGATAAGAGCCTGCATTCAACACAGGGAATCCAGGATAGATAAACACCTCAGGGCCAACAATGGGAGTAGAGATACCAGTAGGATTAGGGGATGGTGGGGGGAGGGGGACTCAATCACTAGGATCAAAATAGAACCTCCTCCCAGGGGGAAGAATAATGAAAAAGTGGGTCAGGGATGATGGAGGATGATGTAAGTTATGGAAACAATAATCTATAACTTATCAAGTGCACAAGGGAGGGTGGGCTGTGGGAGTGAGCGGGAAGAAATGGGTAGCTGATATCAGGGGATGTCCAATTGTCTACATATGGGCATTGGGTCTCCACTCCATCCCCCAGCCCCACCCACAATTCACCTTGGGTATGGATTTGTTCTGGGTCTTAGATGCCTGATACCTGATCCCATTAACACCTTATGATCACATAGGCTGCTGTGATTTTTCCACATGGGCTTTGTTGCTTCTCAGCTAGATGGCCACTTGTTTATCTTCAAGCCTTTAAGACCCCAGGCACTATATCTTTTGATAGCCGGGCACCATCAGCTTTCTTCACCATATTTGCTTGTACACCCATTTTTGTCTTCAGTGATTGTGTCAGGAAGGTGAGCATTACAGAATGCTGGATTGTTATAACAAAGTGTTCTTGTGTAAGGGAGTACTTGAGTTGAGGTCCAATGTCCATCTGCAACCTTAATTCTTAACATATAGATATGAATACATAGTTCTATTCCCCTCTTGTTATAAATGTATTTACATATGTACATGCCTGTATTTAGGCCTCTATAAATGTCCTTTACCTCCTAGTTCTATCATCTTTTTCCATTTAGTTTCCTCTTGTCCCACCATCATGTTTGGCCTTCATTCAGGTTTAGTAATTCCTCCCTGCTACATTGTTCTTGATTAAGCCCCACTAGGCATCCTACGACCTTCCTTCCATTGACTAAAGGTCACTTGTTGTTTCCTTGTCCCTGGGTTGGTTAACACCCCCTTCCTTTCTCCTACCACCCCTTCTCCCGTATCCCCTAGGAACCATTGGTCCTGTTCTTTTCATTTCCGAATTATTCACCCCACTATCTTATCTAGATAGACATGCAGATACCAGGCAAATAAGTGCAAAACCCAAGAAAATCCAAATAAAACAACAAAGGAAGTAAAAACCAATAAAACAATAACAACAACCAAAAACACAAACAAAGCAACAATAGCCAAAAGAAAGGCACTGACAAAAATGCAAAAGTCTATAAATAGTTCAAGGTCTGTTTGTTGGCCTTTACAACTGTTTTCCAATCGAGTCTGATGGGTGCCACCCTCTGTCTCCAATGTCTGCTTTTGGTATTCCCTGGGGGGTTCATCAGTCTGCTCCCTCTGCTGCTCTGCTGCATGCCTTCAGTGCCTCACGCCAGCGTGATGGGGCCAGACCATGCACTATTCCTGCACTGTGTCTCCAGTGCTGTCCCCCACAGTGCATTGGTTCAGTGACGGATGTCATGCCCGATGGTGGGGCCACCCCTATGGTCCTCCCCGTCTGTTGCCTGCTCTGAGCAGAAACATTCCTTGGAGTTTGGTGGGACAGGATGTCCTCTCCTCCCTCTCCATCCCTTTTCGTTTCACCTGTGTGCTCTAATCCCACGTCCCCCCTCTCCCCAAGCTGTATCATCAGTGTTGTGCTCTGAAGTGCATTCTTCTGTCGAGGCAGGGGGGGGGGGGGGGGGGGGGGGGAGAGGGGGGGGGGGGGGGGGGGGGCGCGGATAGGGATATCCACATAGTTGGGGTTGGGTCTGGCCCTGCAGACCTCTCTATTGATTCCCTGATAAATGCCGGTATGTTGTATTCACATCTTGGTGTATCGG